AGTGTCATGATGTGGGGATTGCTTTTCCAGAAGGTTCAGAGTTGATTGGGTGCAGGTTCACCTTCCAGGAGGACAACCACCCAAAACCTGCAGCCTGAACTACAACAGAATGGCCTAGTCAAAGCCCACACCTGAATCCCACTGAGAGTCTGGAGCCAGATTAGAAAACTGATCTTTGCAGCACGAATCGTCCGGTGACTAAAAAAGAAAAAGATTGTTTTAGTCTTTGGTCATGGAGACGGATCCCAAAATGCATGACGCTGTAACTGCAGTGAAAATATTCATTGAGTCTATGTTGAAAATAAAAGCAGGAAGTACATTTCAGGTTAATGAAACATTAGTAATTAATCCACTTCAATATTAAACACCAGACTGTTGCTTTACTACACAAGTGTCCATTGAATCCAAACAGAGCAGAGGCTCAATTAGGCAGCATCTCCCCAAAGATAAAAAAGAAATAATGTAGTTAATGTTTGTTATTTAACACATGCGTCTGGATGACAGTCCACAAGAGAATCAAATAATTTTCCTTTTTTCAAACTGTAAATACTAATTGTTGACTTTAACGTGTTTGTTGTTGGATTTTTGTACCTTTGACTGATACAGGGTTGAATTAAGACAGTAAATGCATCACATTAAATGAAAACCATCTAATAGATGCCTTTTTGTATCTAGAGTACCGTTTTTAGACAATAAAGCGACATTTAAATAATGCTGGTTTAATATAGATTTAAATGTAATTGTAGCTGATAGGAAATGTGATTTGTTCTATTCTGAGGCTGTGCCACAAAGTTCAAACGCCATCTTTGTTTTGGTTAAAAGGATTGTTTTTGTTTTACTGTGGCTAAAGGACTCTGTCTTTGATCTTTTGTTTTATTGGCAATAATTAGTGTGTAAAGTCATAATATAAGTCTTTGGGACTTCATTGGTGGATAAACTAATTTTATCAAAGCATGTAACAACTTTATGTAGCCCTGAATAAATGTAATTTTGCAAAGAAATTTGGGGTTCAATTGCTCTTGTAATGTGGCCGCTCACACTGAGCCTGGTTCTGCTGGAGGTTTCTTCCTGTTAAAAGGGAGTTTTTCCTCTCCACTGTCGCTACAAGCATGCAAGTCAAGCAATCAGCTGGTTTTCCTTAGATAGAAAACTTTGAATCAATCTGACTGGATGATCTGGTGAACTGTAAAGTGCCTTGAGATGACGTGTTGTAAATTGGCGCTT